CATGGAATAACCACTGCTTTGATATGGTCAGACAGGTACAAAAATGAGCAGCATTTGCTCAGTTATATGTTCTTATTACTGGTAATAGATAAATGTGCTTTAAAACACACTTTCTGTGCTGTTTTAATAACGTGTGAAATTCAGCCAGATTTATCTCAGACCTCAGAGAAGTGGCAGAAAGTTTTGGCACCAATACTAGCAGGAATATGATCTACATGAAACATGATCCTGAGCTCTAGCAGGACTTAGCAGACTGTGATAGAGAAAATGTGATATAGTACAGCACAGAACTAATTTCATCATTTGTGGCTGCAGGCAACATACTACAAGCATTTCATGTGCTAACTGTATGTGTAATTTCCAACTGTATCTATTACTGTATCACTGTGAGGAAAACACCGGTAAGTGTACAGTACTTAGTATAACAAAGAACTCACAGTCACAGCTTTGATCTTTCTCATCATCTGAAATAGACCTATCATCAATTTTTTAATCTTCAGATACAGCACCCTGAGATAGATGAAAAAAGACAGAATACCATGCACTCTACCTAATGATTATCCATTTTAGTCTGTCACATAACTAGGTTTCTTGCTGGGTTAATCACACCAAATTCTGCTGCAGCAGGTGCCACAAGGCAGCCTTCCCAGTTGTGGTGGTGCAGGCATTTTCTCTGCTGCGCTCCAGGTCCTTCCCTATCTTTGAAACAGAGCTCCTCATTCAGTGTTCCACTGTGCATTCAGTAAGAAGTGGGGGCAAAAAATACTGAAGGAGAGGTTTCTTTTACATGGTTATGAGCAATTGACTAGAGCAAGCAAGTAAAACAAAAAGAACAAAGGAAACAGTAACAACCCTCATTCATGATTTAGGTTTCTTATTCCACAGGAGGATTTTTATTATATTTTACACACATATTGTTCTGTATACACGTTGGGTAAATAAAATCAGTCTGTGCCTCTCTAGAGGACACTTAAGTCAAAGTATTTCTTTGAACATTTCATAGTTTTGATTCAATACAGAAGATGCATTATCTGACACGATGCATGGTGTTGCTTTGCTTGCTGAACTGCCATCAGCTGTGGTATGAGTGTCTAAAAGAGACGTAATTACTTAATTTTGTTTTCCCTAACTCCTTACAATGTGCTTTCTTTGCTTTGTTTGTTAATAAGCAAGTACAATGAAGTATAAACTTACTTATACATTCAGACAGTGATTTTTTTAAATTTCATTTTTTACTGTTGCTCTTTCATAAGGCCCCAAACACATAAAACATCTGCTCTAAGACGAAGGACTTCAAATTCAGACTTCCTCTCCTGGGGGAAGTATGAGAATACAAATCAAATATAATCCCTTTGAATTATCCTCCTTAATTTGTTCATATAAGGCACTCAGCGACTATAGTTACATTGTATTAACAGAGTAGTTCTAGAGACAGCAAACTGTTGGGTTTTTACTCTCTTGTGTTGCTACACACAGGGATAATATTCTCCCAGTTTCAGCTACGTGCAGCTGGAAATGAATGGATAAAAATTGTTATTGTGGCAAGTTTTATTTCATTTCATTACACTACCTACTCCAGACATCGACATAGAAAATTACATACATGCGTGTTGTGCACCAGTATGTCCATGTTATTAGCACTATTACAGGAGGTGTCCCCACTGTCATTATTACATGTATGTCCTTTTAGTTCTTGTTCTTACAGTACAAACATTCAGCCTGAAGAAAACCCCACAGTGTACAGCTGTTAGCTTTGCTCCTCCAAGATTTTGTGTAATGCCAGCTGTGACAAGAAAGAAAGCTCTTGTATCTAAGAGAAATCAGTTTCTGTGACAGTGATATTCTCTGAGAACTGGACACTGATAACACTGCTTAATCACCTCTTTTTCAGTACGTCACATATTAAAAAAATAGTAATTACAGATACAATAATGTCAAATTGCACATTTTTGGTTTACGTATGGCAGTGCAGCCATTTCCAGTGATAAAGTCTGTAGTATAAATTCAATCACCTTAGAAACAAACCCCTAAATTTAAAAAGCCTAAGTTTAAATCCAGTTAACTGCCAAAAATGTGTGATAATACTAATAGTTACCTTCCAGTAATTTCAAAATACAGTCCAATTTTTACTAATGAGAAAAGTGTGCTATGGGTAGCTGAACCAACTCTTCCAAACTCATACAGTTGATCTATAAAGAACTTAGGGCTAAAGTTTGTATCTATAAAATAATCAAGATTGTTAATCTCTGGAAAGCCAGGGAATATAAAGGTAATGAAACGTCCACTACAGTTGGGTACACAAACTGCTGTCAATCTGAAATATTAACAAAACATTTCTTACTGCATGCCAAGTAGATCCAGCAGTGAGCTCAGATTTTTCTAGCAGAACAACATCCTTCAAGCCAGCTTTAGCCAAGTGATAGGCTAGACTCACACCAACACAACCACCTCCGATGATCACTGTGTCTGCATTATCTTTCCCTAAGGAAGGAGAAGGGGTTTCTTTCCTGGGGAAAAAAATAAAATTACAGACAGTTACAAGAAGACAACTGCACTTTTGTCCATCTTTCTTGTTTACTGCTCCGATCAATATAACTTGGTGCCTGCTTGGGAGTATAGACACACCTGACCTAAAACCTAACATGTTCACTGTCTATAATAGTATCATGGAATCATAGAATGGTTTGGGTTGGAAGGAACGTTTAGGCTCATGCAGTTCCCCCCTCCCCCCCCCCCCCCCACTCCAGGCAGGGACACCTTCCACTAGCCCAGGTTGCTCCAATCCCTGTCCAGCTTGGCCTTAAACACTGCCAGGGATGGGGCAGCCACAGCTTCTCCGGGCAACCTGTGCCAGTGCCTCACCACCTGCACAGGGAAGAATTTCTTCCTCATGTCTAATCAAAATCCAACTTCTTTCAGTTTAAAATTATTCCCCTTGTCTTGTCACTACATGCCCTTGTAAAAAGTCCTATTATCTTCTTTTAAAGTAAATGTTTTTAAATGGTCAGATACATAAACAGTAGTAATACAAAAAACAAAGCAAGTTTGCTTCCACTCGCTTTAAATCCTTACTTGTCAAAAATACCCTTATATGTAGATCCTATTTCTCAATAGGAAACTGTACCCCTGAAAAGACAGTGTAAAAACCTGACTTTTCAAAAGTGCTGTAGTATATGAAACACAAAAAGAAAATCTTCAGAAAAGTCTACTTAGTAAGGCACCTTATTAGATTTCTAAAGCAGGTGTCAGCACACAACATCAGTGTATGTGTTCATTCACAATGAAAGAATTTTTACATTTTTGTTCTATGTTGACATGTTCTACTTTGCTGAAATCTAAACATTATAGAAACTGGTTTACGTCAACGGCTCACACCAGCTATTACACCGGGTTGCATTTTCACAACCACTTCAAGCCAGCACAAACCAAAACTGCTGCCATAGGCAGCCGTCTCCTCCTCCATCTCACCTCATCCTACTCTCTACTGCCCTATCCACAGAAAGCCAAGAAGCAAGCCAGATCAGAAATTTATCCTATTTTAAAAGAGCTGCGTGGGGGTTTTTTTTGCTGCTTTTTTGTTTGGTTGGTTGGTTGTTGGGTTTTTTTTTTTTTTGGTGGTTTGTTTGTTTGTTTGTTTGTTTATGTGAGACAAGGTAGAATCTCTTAGTATCACAGCAGTACAGACTGGTGTGAAATCACTGTATATCTCCCTTCAGGACAGTTAATCAATACTCAGTTTTGTCCCTTCCCTCCTTGTACATTTGCTTTTACGACTTGTCTGGCAAAAGGTTTTCTAATGTGTAACTAGTCTTCCACCCATCCGGCACCCAGAAATCAAAGCCATTAGTTTATGTATTATGAGTGGACATCTCATAATGTGATATTTCATACTATTTCAGAAGGAACATGCACCATGCTTACTCACTATGCGGCAGTGAATGAAACTTAAAGTACATGGGAGCCCTGGACACCACAAGGTTTTCTGAACTTGGTGAACCACACATGCTCTCTTCTGATATCACACATTAATTTTTGCAAGTTAACAATAAGCTCTTTAACAGCCAGGTGTGAGACACTTTATCACCAGCTCCACTACTGAATTTTGAGAGCCATGGTAATTAAGGTCAAGTGTAGTACTGTTTCTCATGCTTCTTCTATGCATTTTTATGAATTTGGAATTTGCTCACCTGAATTTCATCTCTTTTCAAACCTTTTCTTTCAAACCCAGGAGCCTGGGAAGAATCAGGGGGGTGCCTTCCCAGTGAACTTCACTGTTCACACAGGTAAAACAGGTGATTTTTTGCACATCGACATGGCTTAGAAGGCACCAGGAGGGATGTCTCTGTACCAGACCACTGCCTCACCCCGGGATGGTCTGGTCTGAGAGGAAGTTGCACCTCCTGCCCACGGGGAGAAGCCCGGTGGCCCCCGACCGGGAGTCGCCGGCGCTCCGCAGGCAGGCACACCGAGCCCGTTCCCCGCCTTTCCCTCACAGCCCCGTCGAGCAGCGCCATCCTGGGGGTCGCGCCTTGACCCACGGCCGCTAGCGGCAACCCCCCCCCCCCCCTTCCGCCCACCAGGTACAGCCCAGCCCGGCTCGCCTCTGCCGGGCCCGGCCCGCGGGACTGAACTCACCGCCCCTGGGCGCCCGCTCCGCTGCCGAGGGGCCGCACGGCAGCCGCGGCGAGGGGGTCGGGCCAACCGCCGCGGCGAGGGGCCCGCAGCAGCCGCAGGGCTCCCCGCAGCACGGCGCTCATCGCGAGCACAGCCACCCGCAGTAGGGATGAAGAGCGCTGGCTCGGCGCCCCTCCCGTCCCGTTCGTGCCGCCGAGGTCAGCCCCGCGGAGGAGGATGAGGGCAGCCGCGGGAGCAACCGGGCACCTCCTGACCCCAAGCCAGGCAGAACGGGGACGCGCGAGGCAGCCCCGGGCAGTGCCGGCCCCCCTCGGGGTCAGGGGCCGGGCCGGGCCGGGAGGGGTGTTGCCCGCAGCGCTGCCCACCGCGGCCCGCCTCCTCCCGGGCTATAAAAGCATGGCCGGAGAGTTCGGGGTATCCTGAGCTTAGTGACGAGCCGGTCGAGCAGACTCGGGCAGCCAGCGTCCCTGGGCGAGGAAGATGCTGCCGACCGGGAAGACCACGAAGCAGGGCAAAAGGGTAATTCTCACTCCTCTCCCTACTCCCCGTGGGTCCGTCCCGCTCTGCCGCCTGCCGCGGGTGCACCGGCGGGAGACGGGAGAGGTGTCCCCGGCGATGCTGCTGGGCGCGCTGGGAGGCTCTGGGCCTCTTCCTGGCACCACTGCACCACGCCGCCAGCCCAGCCCCGTAGGGGCCTTTCCCGGAGGCTCTCCGGGTGTCTGCGCGGAGGATGGCTGGCCTGAGGAGCTGCTTCCGAACGGGCACAGCCACTAACTGTGCTTGTTAACCTCCCAGTAGGGTACTGGGTATTTCTGCAGGTAAGGCCAAATTGGGAAAACCTAAAGAAAAGCCATAACCGCACCTGTTCAACATGGAGCCGTCAAAGACGCTTGGGCCCCATTATGAGCTCGATAGATTAGGTTGAATTTAATGCTGTAACACCTCATGGAATTTTTATTTCTCTGAACACATAGACTAGAGTCACCAAAGTTCAAAACTATGTTGCATAATATTGTTTGATATGTAAATAGAGTAGTGCTTGCAGCACATTAAAATGATATTTTAAACATTACCATCACTGGATGGGATTTCTTCCTCCAGCATCCTTCCAAATCTGCTCTTTTCTTGATTTATGTAACTGAATACCAACAGTGGTTGTAGTATGAGCACAGTATCCAACATATGCATGCCTTTTGCGCCCTCGTTTAGCTGAAGAAATAAGCCAGTATAAAAAGTTATCTAGGCATCAGCCATTATGGCCATTAAGGTAAACATATGAACAATGTCTAAATCAAACCCTCTGATGTATTCCAGTACTGCTACCCTGTACTGCTGCTTGGGAAAGTCAGTGGAATCACATGTTCTGTCTTCCATTCAGAAGGACACTAATTAATAGCATACTTCTTATGCAGAACTGGTTTTACTTGTTTTTATGTGTAGCATATAAGTCTAGAGTAAGAGAACACAAGGATATGGGAAGAAGTATATGGCAGCAAAAGTAAAGCAGTGAAAGGATGACTCAAAAAAGTCTTTGTTAGCTTTTCAGGGGTACTAATTCTTGCTATTTAATACCAGGTCTGTGTACTACCAGATCACCTGTTATTAAAATTTGGATCTGCATTACACATGAGCTCACAGCTCTAGGTCTTTGGGGCAGAAGAAAACAACCCTGATGCTAAACTTACACTAGCTATATGTTGGTTGAGCCAGTGGTATTTTACCTAGTATAGATAAAGTAAAAAAGGTGTGAAGAGATGATATCAGACCTGTAATAAAGTTTGCAAAAGAGTTATTTCTATTTTAAGCCAATCTGAAACAACAAAGTAAGATTCTGTTAAGTACTTTGTGCTTTGTAGTTGTCACCTGCTCTTAGATGCCCCAACACCAGGTTTAATATATCACAGTATATTACATACTAAGATGCTATGGTGTATTTGATCATGGCTTATGTTGCTTCTGTGTGTCAAAAGTGAAGATTATTTTGTTTAGAACTGTGAAGGAAAGCTTATGTTAAATCCTGGAAGGGACTTGTTAAAAGAAAAAATCTGTTAGTTGTAGTGTATGTGAATATATACCTGTATATGATGTCAACATGTATCTATTACTCATTGTTCATTTAACAAGCAATGACTTGAGGCTGCTTATACGCTAAAGGTTTGGTTTTATTTCTTCTGCACTCATCTGTATATTATTCTGAAGCAGGCTCTGTCTATAAAAGATTCCTTGGCAGGCAGAGGGAGCAGGGACTCAACCAGTGATCCCTTGAGTGCCTTTCTCTGGCACAATTTGAGGCATTGTTACAACTGCAGATTAGTTAATTGAAAACACAATCTTTACAAAGCCTCTGACATCTACATTTAGATCAGAATTCCCTAACATACAGGCATGACTGGTAAACATATTGAGAATTGCTGAGTTTTGGAGATTGAGTATTGCCAGTCGAGTTTTGCCTTGCTCCTGCAGGGCTACAGAATCATAGAATAGTTTGGGTTGGAAGGGGCCTTCAAAGGTCATAAGGTAAAAGAAAAGATAAAAGAAAGGTAAAAGCTTTCACACTTTATTGAAGTTATAAAGTTAATCAGGTCAGTATTTTATCATGTCCACAATGTGCAATGGAATGTGCTGCAGAGATTTGCAAGCTGGCACTTATCCAAGCTCATCTGCACAGCAGCACTGTGTATAGAAGTCCTGCCACCTTGCTGCCATTTCAGTGCCTGAGCCAAAAATGCCAACCCTCTCAGCCAGGCTATGTAGCCTCCAAGTAGCCTTAACACTGCTCTGTTTGGTACTGGAACTGGCAGAGTTGATGCAGCTCTTCCACTTTTGGAAAAGCATACTCATGCCACCTAAAGGCATGAGATGCTGTGTTTGTTTTTCCTAGATGTAAGGTGTGAGGTAACTGAATTACTGCAGGAGAAATTATCAAGAAAGATAATCTACTAAAGGTTGGAGGCTGATTATTAAAACCCCCTTCCTCTCAGTACTAAAACCACACTCAACTCTACGTCCACAAAGCTTCTATTTTCCTACTCTTTCAAGTATCATCGACTGAAATGCTACTGTGCCACCAAGAAAAGATAACTATGGAGGAAAATTTCAGTCTTGCCTTTAATTAATGCCTTTCCTGTACCCACTACCTTTGTTGATGTAATAGGTCTGAATTCATCCACTTTTTAAAGTAAATAGGACTAATTTCTCCAATTGTATTACAACCATAATTCTATTTAGTGTAATAGTAAGGTACTTTTCAGAAAATTTGTACAAGCCAATGAAGCAATGGAAACAGTATAAAAAATAATATGTATTAGGTGCAACCACTATATGTTGTTCTCATTTTTTTTTAATTTTACAAAAAAAAGCCTCATACTCCCTTGCATTAGCAAATTCAAGGCAGAAGCAAGGTTAATCACAGGGGCTGTAAGGTCTGTAATTTGGCATCTTAGAACATTTCAGGCCTGTGCAAAATAAGCAGGATTTTCTTTCATTTTTTAAGTCTAGGTAAGCAAACCCAGGCCAGTAAAAAGTCTGTCAGACAATGGAGGCCAGCATTTTGAGATGTTTTATTTGGTAAGCAAATGTGACATGCTTAACTTTTCTGTGATACCTGTTGTGCCATTTTGTGTCACAACCTACTTGTGCTGAGGCTGAAGGAGCAAATTAGCTGATGAAAAGGTCAGTGATACTAGAGTTTCATTTTAAGTAGTAGTTTATTTCATGTAGTTTACAGGGGAATCTGAGATGGTATTTTACTTTCACAGGCATGGAATTAGACAATTTGCTTTAATTCTGGGGACTGTATCTCTGGAATAGGATAAAACTGACTAATAAAAAATCTTAATATATATGAACATATTAAAACAGACCATCTATCACTCTTTAAAGAGAATTTCAAGATGGAAATTTATTGCTTTTATTATTATGGCAAAGATGGTTTTGGTATCCCACAAATACTTGTCCGCTTTGCAAATGCAGGAAATGGCAACAAAGACAAATGAAGCCCATAGAATTGAAGAACTGTAATTGTTAACCTGCCATCCTGCTTTCTCTAGGGTATTCTAGAGCGCTTAGATGCTGGAGAAATTGTGATTGGAGACGGAGGATTTGTCTTTGCTCTTGAAAAGAGGGGATACGTAAAAGCTGGGCCTTGGACTCCTGAAGCAACTGTAGAGCACCCAGAAGCAGGTCAGTTTTACTTGGAAATGGTAATCCTGTAGTGAATGTAAACATGGTTGACTAAATAATAAATATATAGGAAGATAGAGTAGGTTTTTAAATAGAAGTGTTACTTGACACTGTTAGAATCACACTGTTAAGAACAGCCTAAGACTATGTAGACCAAATGTTCATCTTGGAGTCATAGAAAGGCTGGGTTCGAAGAGACACTGAAGATCATCTAGTTCCACCCCTACTGCCATGGACAAGGGCACCTTCTACTACACCAAGTTGATCAAAGCCCCATCCAACCTGGCCTTAAACACTTCCAAGGATCTTACCCCTTTTTCTTGCTCAAATGCTGGCCCAAAGCGGTTGGATAAGAAAGAGTACAAGCAGTGCAAACATGTAGTGGTACCTCTCCAGAATGCTCTCCCAGTCTTCAATAATTTGCAATGCAGTGACTTTTTGACCTAGATACTGTATCTTTGTATTTAACACCATTCAATGATTTCTGTCTCTTGAATTTGTCTAGTCTGTCCTTCAGCTGATATACAGTTTATCATTTAAAGTATCTTGTGAAAAAGAATTCTCCTGTTAACTGCTTTGTTGTGTTCTAGTCATTCTAGGACTTCTATATTGTTACAAATTAATATAGTTTGTTTATTAATTCTTTCAGGAAAATAGCAGTTTTTAATAAACAGTGGAATGGGAGTATTTAATGTATCTGGCTCCATTGTGAAATGGGGAATGATAAATTTCAGAATAACCTAAGAATTGCAATAAGAATTTAATGGAGTAACTCTCTTAAAGTGGTCAGAATCAAAACGAGCAATCATTCCATGCCTTCCAGCATAAAGATTACAGTGTTTAGCATAAGTAATGCAAAAGGAGATGCTACTATCTATTTATGCAGGCTTCATTAGAAGAAAGCATTTGCCCTAGTAGTATGATGTGCAGTTAATTCCACAAGCCAATTCAGAATACCCTGGAGAACAAAAAAATTCTTTGTTCTAAGTGTTTGCCCCTTCAGATCAGTGGCTTCTCTATTCAGGGGGAGAAGGAAGAGGAGGAAAAGGAGGGGAGTGATTTTAGCCCTCACTATTACACTGCTTTTTACACCTTAACTATTTATTCACCATAATCCTTCTCGGCCTTCATGTGTCACTTTGTGTAGCATGCCTAACCTAGGATCATGGACAGCCTTAGATAATGCAGACCTCCAGCACAGGTTTACAGAGTGACCTAATTTGCTGACTCTCATCTCCCCCTGAAATACCACATCACCTCTCTGTTTTTCACCAACTCTACCTTTGTTTGCCCCTACAAATTCCATTTTACAAATCACAGCACTTATTCCATGCTTTTTATTTCCCTTTGCTTACTTATTTTGCACATCAAGAGCCCTTGATGCTTTCCACGTCTTTTTGGGAAGCACAGATTTCAGTTTACGGGAAATGCAAGACATGGCCTTACATAGAGACAGTTGCAGATGGTTTGAATTGGCTAAACTGGCACACAGATTTGCTTTAAATGACTGATCAGTAGTCATAGGTTAGAATCCAACCTTCTAAGAATTGCTACTGATTTCCTAGAACATAATTGCTCATGTTTGTAAGACAGTTACTTATTTTTTATAAGCCCCTCATAGACTATTTATAAATACACTCTTCACTGGAAATGTGTTCATTTCTATTCATAGAGTGTGCAGCCTCCTGCTTTTTGCTCCTGTGTGCTAAAGAGTCATGTTACTTTTAAAACAGGTGTAAAGAACAGAAGGAGCAACTGGGTAGGTCAGTGGGTGTAAAATCCGTACCACAACCAGTTTTGTCCTTTGTAAGGAAGAAAGGAAGGAGAAGAAGGGAGGTTCTGAGAATGCAGCAAGGAATGAAGAGTAGAGGGAGTGAGTTCAAGGCCATTGTATGCATTACAAGAGAGAAATTTTCAAGACTGACAAGTTTAGAAACAAGATCTAAATATTTCTTCTGAGCCTGATCAGATGTTGCTTTGTAGTGACCAATATGCATAGGCACATATGAAATTAAACCCTGGTAGTTCAGGCTGATTCCAGGGACTTTTTGAACTGTAGCTAAGCAATAACCAATGTTCCTGGGTAGGTCTTTGTGACTGCTGGGAAAAGCAGCATTGCGTTAAACCACAGTGTTGTAATTTAACAAGACTGAAATTAGAAATGAGGTACTGTACCAGTAGAGAAAAGCAAGGGACACTACACTGTTCTTTCAATGAAAGCACACTTGCTTGCATGTATGCAGATTGACTGTAGCAACAAAAACTGCTGTTTGAGCTTCTCTGGCATAGAAGGCTGTATTTGTTTCAGCTGAGGGGAGTAATTTTATTCTTATGACACATTCACACATTTCCCTAATGACTCAGATTGTCTCATTGTAGACAATGAGATGTAATAACCCAGGACTTCAGGAAAGCTTTCCTAAACATTTGCCACAGAAACTGCAATGTTCTCATGTCTGTGTATGGTATCTAGGGAATAATTTTTTCCTGTTCTTGCTATTTTAAATCTGTTCTACACGACCATTAGTGTGTTAGAAATCATTATAATTATTGTTCTTCAGGTGTATATATATAAAATCAATTGACATTTCCTGTTCCATTCCTGCTGTGGCAATTCCAATGTACTGTTTACAGTGATGAAGGCACAACTACCATTACAAAGCCTGCTCCCAAAGGCCAAATGTAGGAAATCTGTCCATTAAAAGTAATGCCAGCCCATCTTTTAAAGGAAGCATTGGCTCTGTAGTAAAATCATCATGTTCAGACTTATGAGAAGAATTAAGTTTCTGTTGCGATTCACTTTTCTGGACCAAGAAATCAGCTTTTAATTAAGGGTTTATTTAGCAAAACAGCTTTGGTTTTGCCTGACTAGACTCAGCTAGAGTTTTGTAGAGGGACAAAAACAGAAAACACAAAATGGAGAAGGTAATGGAACACTGTATTCTTTTATATAAATACCATCTTCCCCTGTATTTGTTGCCACAATACTTTTTTCTGTTTTCTTCTTCATAGTCTAGAGGCTAAGAAAATAAGGCTTTTTCATTTTATGATCTTTTGTCTTCTATTCCTTGTTATGCTTACATGTTCTTTTGTCAGATGTCTGCTTTCCCTTCCTTTCAGTATGCAGTTCTTTCAAATGAAGTTGGGAGAGCTGAAGGACTGCAGAAAGTAAAAGACAGGCAAGGTGTCATGCAAAACTGAATCTACTGATAAACTAAATAGAAATCTTCAGTCATTCTTACTGGAGAAAAACTATGAGGAAAGTTTTCTACCTAATGTTCTGAAAGGGAGAAGAAAGAAATTTTACACAGACTGGAGTACTGCTTCTACTATCTCATGATGGCTCTTCTAGTAAACACTTCTTCACAGTAACATTACTTCAATAAACATTTAATTTTGGGATAGCGACAGTAATAACTGTAGCAAACATCTCTTCTTTGTCTCTTAATTCTTTGCAGTTCGTCAGCTTCACCGTGAATTCCTCAGAGCTGGATCCAGTGTTCTACAGACATTCACCTTTTATGCCAGTGAGGACAAACTAGAGAACAGGGGCAATTATGTAGCTGAGAAAATAAGTGTGAGTAAAACTCTGTTTTGATGGAGATACGAAATAAATAGATTAATTTCAAAAGGCTTAGCAGAGACATTATCAAGTCTGTTATGACTGTTTGTCATAACAGTTTTGAAGACCAAAGTATTAGATGATGCAATTTCAGAGTGTGGCATAGCAAGAAAGACAAACAAAAAAAAAAAGAAAAAAAAAAAAGAAAGAAAAGGGCAAGGATGAGGAGAGGAAAGAGGATGTCGACACTGTAGTTTTTGCATCTGAGGAGATTAGTTTGCTGGAGTTCTTATACAAATTGTATAGGGAGGATTAAATGCACAGAGAGCACAGTGAAAGAAACAAATGCTTTAACATCCAGAGAAACAAAACCCAACTTTAAAATGCTGAAGAATCCTTGACAATGAGTGGCTAATGAGAATGGAATATTTTTTTAGAACCCCGTCTTCAGTAAAGTAACAACTTAAAAATCCAAGGTATACACAGTGGTCAGTATCCCCCTTCTTACATGTAAGGGTAATCTGTTACAGCAACACAAGTACCATGCTTGTGTTTTCTTACCACCTACACAAAGGAGTTGTATGATGTTGGGTGTGTTCAATACATGAAGGCCCCAGCTCCTCTGGGACTTCTGGCAGAAGCATTTCTAGATAGTTCCTTTGAGACTAGAAAACTTGCCATTGAGTATGTTCTCTGATCCTTCCCCCTTTGGTCCTATTGTCTATTTCAACTTTTGCAAAACAGAGAAGATTCTCCAGGGATCAGGGAAGACAGAATATCTTTGAAGATATCCCAAGCCAGAAATCTAAATAATCTGGACAAGAGGGAAACACTTGAGGCTTAATTAAGAGGTCAGACCAAAATGTCTTATGACCAAATGTATTTGAAATGCTGCACCTTCACATTCAATAGATACATCGAAATGTCTGAATGGTTGTCCTAGAAACACAGTGCCTCTGAAACAAGCCATGCTGCAACTCTTGCTGCCATGCAAAATTGTAAGGGCTGTGAAAGCACCTGATACAGGGAATGCATTGCAGCAAAGCTTTAAAGATTGATTAACTGCTAGTTCTAGAAGCAGGTTCCTCAAGGCTATAACTAGTTTATGACTCCATCTCCCAGGGTTCTCAAATGTGTACATGAGCACAAATGAAAATGGAAGACAGTCTGTCAGCAATATCTTAAATTTTGTAAATTCTCAAAATACTAAAATACATTATAAAAAAAGACAAATCAATTGAAATTACTACGCATTGTTTTCCACCCGTAAAGTGTCAGAATAAAATCATACACTTAAGTGTAACTAACTCATAAGAGGCAAAGAAAATTCCACTTCACACTAAATATTTGCTTTTTATAGACTATTCATAGAAGATGCATTAAGGGTAATATGTTTTTGTAGTATTTGATAATATGATGATGTACAGGTCGCAAAATATTTGTTTCCTAGTGTTTGCTGTTTGTTTGTTTTTTTGAAAGATGCTGATCTTTCTGATCAATGTCATTAAGAATCCATTTAAATTATAGAAGAATATGAAGAAATCATTATGGATTTTGACTCTTTTTGTATTTTCTGTGCTCTGAAGTTACACAGATATCTCTGACGAGGTAAAACTGATATAATCTATATTCATACAGTGCCAGAAAGTTAATGAAGCTGCTTGTGACATTGCAAGAGAAGTGGCTAATGAAGGTGATGCTTTAGTGGCTGGAGGAGTCAGTCAAACACCATCATACTTAAACTGCAAGGATAAAGCAGAGGTTAAAGCAGTCTTTCGAAAGCAACTAGATATCTTTATGAAGAAGAACGTGGACTTCCTAATTGCAGAGGTAAATCTGTAAAAAAAGTACATGCCTTCAATAGTCACAGTGTTACTACAGTATGTCTAGTCTGCTTTAGGATTACAATTATTTATTGCTTCCTCCTTTAAAATTTTATGTTATGCTTTTATTCCAATAGCATTAGGTATTTTTCTAAATGCACAATAGCATCTGCAAGCATTCTAGAATAGGAACCCTGAAACCTGAATTTCTACCTCAGTCAAATCAAATTCTGTACTGGTATGAATAGGATAGATTAATGTGATCTTGACTAGTTCCTATTTCCTCCTATACTGTAACCAACCTAAGGCGACTTTTCTGTATGAAAATAGTTCTTGGGGGATTAATACCTGATTAACCTCCTGTATGGGAGGTTAACAAGAGTATAACAAGGAAACAAGAGTATAACTATTTTTTATTTAGTTTTACTTACTGACTTTAAAATCCTTTTTCAACTGTAGTTAGTGAATTCAGTTGAATTCAGGAAAGAATCAAGTTGTATTCTCGTTGAATTTGGGGTCTGGATTAATGTATTTATGCTTCATCTCAGAAGCAGTAGTACTAGAAACAGGAGTAGTCTACTTTTGATTTCTTTCAGTATTTTGAACATGTTGAAGAGGCTGTCTGGGCAGTTGAAGTTCTAAAAGAATCTGGAAAGCCAGTTGCAGCTACAATGTGCATTGGTCCAGAAGGAGACATGCATGGTATGCCACCTGGACAATGCGCTGTCCAACTGGTAAAGGCTGGTAAGAACTTGTTTCAAGATGCCCTTTAAAAGTATGGAACAAAGTAAAGTCCTTAAGTATTGAGATAAATAAATGTATGTGTATCTCAGGTAGCTTCCCAATTATATCTAATGAAGTTTGGAACATGTAGGAAAGTCTTTATGTGTACTTTACTATAGGAGACTTGTAAAAAAAATAACAAATGAGAATGCAGCTGTGAAATCCCTGTTAACCAGGCTGGTACTTGAACCAACAGCCGTTGCCTGCTGATACTGAATAGAACAAAAGCCTTCACCTACTCAAATCTGGTTACAAAGCCAAATGCAAGTTATGGAAACATAAGCAGAATCCAAAGCCACCTTTGATTCTCTACTCATGTTTCTAGAAATGCATGGAGCACAGTTCAAACCCATGATGAAAGAATAAGAGGATGAAAAAATTTTACCTTTTTGCCCATCAAAGGCTGTATTTTCTGCAGAACAAGGGGAAGGGCAGAAGAAATCTATCAAGGGCATGATGAATGATGGTGCAGGGGGTTATTATGTCTATTCTGAACTATTCTTTCCCTTTGGAGTTAGAACTGAAATCCAAAGGCAAAACCTGTGTTAGGAACCTGCTAGCTATTTGCATATGTGTCTGTACATAACCAGTCTTCACTGATGAAGCACTGATAAGAAAAGTAATGAGGGTGGGAAATACGTTTCATCATCATCAGGAAGGTAAAGAGAAGTGCAACTGAGATGTAAATGGAACAATCAACCCCAGGAGAGTTGAGGCTTGCTCTAGCCCAACTGCCTTGTTTTCATAACGCTGGTGTATGTTGGTGTAATGCTGGTGTAAAGATGGAGTGCTCTGCTTCTGGAGTGCTGTGGCTACGAACCTCTACCTCCCACTTCCTGGGGAAATGTGACTTGAAGCTATTTTCCTCTCCTAGGTGCTTCTATTGTTGGAGTCAACTGCCATTTTGATCCAGATACTTCCCTGGAAACCGTAAAACTGATGAAAGAGGGCTTGCAGGCAGCTAAACTGAAAGCCCACCTGATGTCCCAACCACTTGCTTTCCATACACCTGATTGTGGAAAGCAGGGTTTTATTGATCTTCCAGAATTTCCCTTTGGTAAGACAAGGGTATCTTTTGTTTTGTCTGCTTTAATTTGTTTGTTTGTTTGTTTTAATTGTCTGTGCCTGCTCTCTCCCCCTGCTCCCTCCCCACCAGCTTTTAGTACTGCTGAAACTGCAGGGTGTCCTTCTATACAATAAGATGAGTCCAAATTATCCTGTCTGGCATTTTCTACACCCTAAACTCCATTAGAAAATGCCGCTCTTCCTTGTGCTATTGAATTATGTTGAGGAAAGCTAGGAACAGTCCAAAGAAATGAACAAGAGCAAATACACTAAGAAAACCCCAGTGTTTGGGTTGTGACATCTATCCCACCAGCCCTATAATGTTTACCTGTGTAGGGATTTAATGTACAATGCATATGCAGAACTGGATATAGGTGCATGATTATTGCATTTGTAATGGTTCAGTCATGCAAGTGTAACTGTCTAATGTAAGTGAAATGAATAGAAACCAGAAAAGGGAATATATTCTTTGATGTTGCTAACAAATGGGTTAGCAGTTTGGAGATGGATTCAACACATGTATGCTCAGGAATAATTGTACAAAGACTGAAACATTCAGATGCTTTATGTGTATATAAAGCTTGTGTATTTAGGGTTATTTCCCCCTGTGAGGTAGAACATCACATCTCTTTGACATGAGAGGACAAAATCAGCCTAAACATTTCAAAATTGATTAAAAAAATGCTTTAATTTTCAATTATCACACCCACTTCTTTTCAAGATCAGACTACAAAATAAGGCATTGAAACATTTGAAATTTGAATTTGTAGCAAAAAGAAAAAATAAGGTGATTTTCAGGAAGGTTTTTTTTTTTTTTAATTCTCTCTTTACAAAGTGAAGGAAACAAGCAAGAACTTGAGGCATTCATTAAATGATAATAACATGTCTGAGTTCTGAAAATATTCTGGGATGTTTGAAAGTGTTAGGAGCTCATTTATCCTAGTCATTCCTTCATGTAACTCCTGATTGCAAGCAAAACAAGTATAGAACAGATGCAGTAAGTAATCAAGTGAATTGAAGCATTCACTCTTTGTGTTGTTATGGTTCTTGGATTCTATTTTATAAGCAATCTGTATGAGATTTCAGCTTTTAGAAATTGCATGAGTCAGTTGGAGAAGGCTGTGTGTGAATGCTTTCCATACCCAGAAGGAGTAACTGATCACTTGATGCCAGACTTTCAGTTTGGTAAATCATTATTAAACTGACCCAGTTAAGTCTGGGTTTTGTGGAAGGCAACATGCACAAATAGGTTTTTAGATATTTTACATATACATAACCTCCGTATAGGCCAACAAGATCTGTCTTTAAGGAAGTGTTGGTTATGCTGTATTGGCAAACTCCAGCATCTAGAAGCCAGCAGTATTTAATTATCTGTAGAACTTTTTCCTGTGTTCTGTGTTTTCCCTTCTGTGTTAACTGAGAGGCTATCAGTTAAGCAAGGACAATGTTTTAGAAAGAAAAGTCCCAGACATTCAAAGCATACTCAAGAGTAAATATATAGAGGGGCTAAACCTGGGAGCATGTTACAAGGTTCTCAGCAAAAAAAAAAGATGTAAATTTCAATCTCTCTTTACTATAAATATTACCATGAACTGTTAAGCTATAGATGTTTAATTCTGAATAAAGCGAAGAAATGCATTAACAGGCATGGAAAATAGAATGTTAGTCAATTTTGGGAAGGGGAAAATCCCACAAAGTGTAATCTATATGGCAGCTTCTTTTCATAAAACACTGCTTGTTTTCAGTCAAAATCTCTCAACCATGTGGCCAGTTCTCATGGCGGGGTCTGTCCCTGTTTCTTCAGAGAGATTAGCTTGCTGCTGTCCTTACACTCTTGAAGCACAAGGACTGATTCATATAATCATAGAAGGGTTTGGGTTGAAAGAGACCTTAAAGATCATCTCAACTTGCCTAATAGTTACCCAGTTCCTTGTTTCCCTTTTTAAAAATGGGTGCACTGTTTCCCCTTTTCCAGGTACTGGGAACCTCACCAGACTGCTATGACTTTACAAATAAAATAGATAGTGGCTTAGCCGCTTCTTCCGCCAGCTCCCTCAGGACCTGATTTCTTCAGGTTCTATGGACTGTGTCCGGGTGTGTGAAGAAGTGTGTACTGTTCCCATGAAGTTTAGTTGCCTATAACTAAGTTGTCTGTCTTATAAATTGAGTGCAAGATGTTGCCTCCTTACTGTTGATCATTTTGTATCAATTTTGCATTACCTTTTTAATGATATATGAGAGACGATGAAATGATGAATTGTGCTTCTGATGCTTTTTCTCATGTCTACAGGACTGTACACAAGCTTACTTATACAGCTTTCATCTGTTTTTCCTTCTGATATTACATAATCTACTTTTCTTTTGTCCTGTCATTCCCTCTGAGACCAATAACTTTATGCTTAAGAACATTTCATTATTTTCTTCTGCTTTTTATTTTCTGAACCTGTTTCTTAACTACCTATTTGACTTAGAGTATATTTGCTTTTTATCACCTTCTTGCATGTTAAGCATTTTTGGGAAAGGACATAGGGAGAAGAATCCTACCTTTCTGCTGTGCTGCTGGAGCCTTGGTACCTCACCACAGCTCCTTTGCCCAGTGGAGGGCTCAGTGCACAGACATCATGATGCACTTGCCTGATAACCATGCTGGTTCATCACCTGCAGATGTGCATAAAGAAGTGGGAGAATTTTCATTCCTTTACTCCTGTATTTCTAGTCCTTAAAGTTTTTTTTTTCTTTCCAGTTCTGTCCTGCTTGTGCCTCTTCCCTTTGATGTATGTTTTAACTTGTTCTTTTCATTTTTTCTTCCTTTCTTTCCACAAGTCCTCTCAGCTCTGTTACCAAATCCCTCTGCTTACCACAACCTGCAACAGGGAGAAGGGTTCAAAATAAAGATCATATCCTCACTTATCTACACACAGAACTTTCCACAAGGAAAAAACTGGTTTTAGGCAGCAATCTGCTTACAGCTGGAATTATAACTAAGCAAAGGATGGACTACGAAATAGCTACAAATCCCAGCTGTCAGTGAAACAATTGGCTGCTACTAGCTGATCATGGAAAAAAGTGTATTAAGTATTCCTGAGGAATAGCAAGCAGGCTTATTGCTGTTGTAGGTAGGCTGATACCTTCTGCTTTCACAGATTAGAGTACTGCAATCATATTTCCCAGATATTGATCATTTATTAGGAACTCTTTGGAAACGTGGATGTAACATTGAAAGTACTCCAATGCTCCAGCTAAGAACTCTGGCACAAAGGCAAGTATGTGAATTACAGCTTGGGTTTCAGAAGTGTTCCCATAAGCTTAGTATCAGAAGATAGTAGGTGCTGTTTTGCGAGGTGAAAAAAGCTTACAAGCATTGCCCAGCAGAACACAGCAGAACCTGAAAGCTAGACTTCTGAAAGTTTGCATCATTAATTCTAGCTCACACAGTTCAAATGTGTATATCTACATCTACACCCAGTTTTGCAAACAATGTGCAAGTCTTCCAACAACATGACTTCTTACGAAAAATTGTGCTGAAATGGAACATGGTGGAAACTTATTATATGAATGTCTTTGCAGCTTTGGAGCCAAGAATTGTAAGCAGATGGGATGTTCAAAATTATGCAAGAAAGGCCTATGATTTAGGAATTCGTTATATTGGAGGTTGCTGTGGATTTGAGCCATATCACATCCGAGCAATAGCTGAGGAGCTGGCTCCTGAAAGAGGATTTTTTCCAGAAGCTTCTGAGAAACATGGTAGCTGGGGCAATAGCCTGAGCATGCATACCAAACCCTGGGTCAGAGCAAGGTATGTATGTCTGACCTGGAGAGCACACCAACATACTCCTCGCAAAAGCTTGTATTGGTCCATGCAGCAGACTGGCTTAACTGATTTGTAGGTCTAAATATTACTGTAAAAATTCAATGTGTTAACAATTTTGAAGAATTAAATCCGACTGGGGACGAGGGAAAGGGGTGAAGGGGCAGTAAGAGAGGTGCAGAAATTCTCATGTGTCTTTAAACTGAAGATCTGATCTGAATTAATGTGGAAGTAATTAATGACATTTAAGATTGAAAACCGTAAAACAGATCTTAATGGTGAGTTTCTTACAATCTTTCATGAAAAGATGCTTTTTAAGTATGTAGCATTTCATTGCATGTTTTCATTCATACTTCCTTATTCTAAATAGAGAAATATGTCAGTCTGTGCAAGTTAGATGACCCTCTGCAATGGTCATTTAAGACGTATTTCCTTTACTATTGTAAGGTGCTGGAAAGAAAACCACCCTGATTTTCCTTTTTCTTTCTTTAGGGCAAGAAAAGAATACTGGGAGAATCTGAAGCCTGCTTCAGGCAGACCATATTGTCCTTCAATGTCAAAGCCAGACGGCTGGGGAGTGACCAAAGGATCCAGGGAGCTAATGCAACAGAAAGAAGCAACAAGTGAACAACAGCTGAAGGAGCTCTTCCAGAAACAGAAGTTCTAATCCACTGCATTCTCTGTTAGTTAGGTGCCATTAATTGGGTAGACACAGAAATATGTGAAAAGTAGTAATTGGCTTAACCCACCTGTGAAAAGAGAAAAAGCCTTCTATAAATACAGCTGTCAATGGACTTCCACTCCTGAGTCTGTGTTCAGTTTAGGGTTATCTAGGAGCTTCCTGAGACCTCAAGGTTTGTTGAGGACTACTTCAGGGACACACAAGCTGACAGACACACAGTTATCTGCAGTTGCTTTCTTGATTTCAAAAGAATAAAAGTAAAATGGAAAATACATCTTACCTTGGAATAAAAAAATAAGGAGAATAAGATCTTGCAGGAGTTTCTTATATGGAGGTGAAAGGTTCAGAGAACTTTTAAGAAAAAAAGAGTCATTCACCTGTCATTTTTCTTTCTTGAGTTACTTAGATTTACTTATCTGGAGACTAAAAGGCTTAAAAAATTATTCTGAAATTAAATAAAGTTAATATGATGGAAGAGTACTGTATTATCTTCATACCTTAAATCACAAGAGCTCAAACGGAATAACATACCTTTAGCAAACAACTGATTTTCAAATTGATCCAGTTGATTTCTGGATATTTAATTGGAAACACTAATTTATCTCAAAGTATCACTTAAAATGGAGTTTCTTACAATATAACTCCTGTTAATAAGAGAATGTTCCATGATTTATTTTTTTAAAGCTGACTTATTGACTCTAGAATCTTAGCTCTAAGAAGATATAAAATGGATCAATTCACACAAATTAAGAATACCTGTGGACATTTGTACACTGCACTTGTTGAGAAGGGTTTTCTTAGGAAGAATATCACTACACCTGGAAACTATGAAGGCCAAATTTCCATAGCTTATTTTTGTGAAATATCATACAACTTAGAATTCTCTCTAAAATATTATTCCCGACTATTCTACATTAAAGCCACTACCTTTATGAAAATATTATTCTCGAACCTAGCTTTTGTTGGACTATATTTTATGTATTAGCTTATTTCATTATTACTATCCATGTTGATATTCTGCAGTATTTAAAAATGTAACATTTAAATGGGAAATTTCAGGTATCCTTTTCAGACTGTTACTGGGAGACAGATTCTAGAAAAAAGCCATCTGCCTTCCCCAAGCTTATAACAGATTGAAATAGTTGCTAGCTGGAAGTTTTGCCTGAGAGCCAAAAGTAGACAAATCAAGACAGCAGATAGTTTAAAAAGTAGATTTGGAAAGCATAAGTGTAAGTATATATGCACTACATTGAAGTCATTTCCTTCCTAAAGCCTTCTGGATGTTTCCCCTGCAGAAAGTAGGGTAATGCAAAATCTGCATAACAAAAACGCCAGATCTTTAATCATCACCAAAATGCATGCAATGTTAAAGACATATGCATGATAAAGTGTCTTAAAATACAAGCTACAATTGATAAAGAAGTGTTTTGAACAACCATTACCAGTTTAGGGACTTCTGTGGCAAAGGATGCAACTTGACCATCATACTCTATACAAGCAGCTAGAGTGATCTTTTTGAAACTAACCAAACATGCAGAAGTTGTACCAGAGTGCTTGAGTTCAGAAGACAACACTGGTTGTTGTCAATGGTATTTAAGGTGATCAAACATGATTTTAAGCATTTATTTTTAGATAGACAGTTTAAAAAGGATGAATTTTAATAGACACTAACAAAAAGAAATATTTAAGAGGCTATTTGAAGTCATTCAAAAGGAGGGCTGACCCCAGAGAGAAGCTATACAATTCCCGTTTGATTCATATCATAGGCTGGGCTTACAAAGGAATTGACAGTAAAATGAAAATAATTGTCAGAATGCTTTATTGATCACTACAGAATCCCAAACTACCACCCCCCCAAAAAACAACCCAACACACACACCCTCAAAAACCCCAGCACACAAAATAGAAAACCTGAGCAGTAAACTCAACAAAGCTTTACTTCTCATTTCTTTCTAACAACTTAGTGAGCAGTTGTCATGGTTTAAACCCAGTCAGCCACACAGTTTCTACTCCCTCCCCCCCCCTTTCTCTTCTTCCCCCATTCCCCCCACCTGCTCCCGGGGGGATGGGGAGGACAATCGAAGGAACGTAGCTCCCACGGGTTGAGATAAGAACAGCCCAGTAACTAAGGTATAACACAAACCACTGCTGCTGCCACCAATAATAATAATAATGATAAGGGAAATAACAAGGGAAGAGAATACAACCGCTCACCACCTGCCAACCAACAACTCGCCCCACCCTCCCTGACCAAGCACCTAGTCCAATACCTAGTCCAGCCCCGCAGTGAACTAGCCCTTCCAGGTAACTCTTAGTTGCATCCTGGGCATGACATCCTGTGGTATGGAATATTTCTTTGGTCATTTTGGGTCAGGCGTCCTGTCTCTGCTTCCTCCCGGCTTCCCCTCCTCCCTGGCAGAACATGAGGCTCAGAAAGTCCTTGGTCAGTCTAAACATTTGAGCAGTAACTAAAAACACGGGTGTTATCAGTGCTGTTCCCAGACCGAAAGTCAAAAACACAGCGCTGCACCAGCTACTAAGAAGGAGTAAAAATGACTGCCACTGCTGAACCCAGGACAGTGGTAAGGAAAATGTTAAGACGTATTAAAGCTGTCTAATGGTTTATTACATGACTTGTTAAGGAAATAAGACAGGTTGACAGCACAAACCTAGGAAATTTGTTTCCTTAGAAAGCCTGTCTGAAAACTTAGAAAGGAAGTGAAAAGAACTTTTGAAGGTCAACTCCTACATTTAGTACCCTAAGGTAGGATCAGCTATTCATAGCGAAAGACACGTGCTTAACCTGTTTGGAAACACATTTAATGATGGAGCTTCCATGCTAAACCCAGGCAGTCTGATTACTTCACTTTCTTCTTAAGAAATTATTCTTAATTTGAATATTCCTTGATTGAATTTTAATCCATTATTTCTTCCCAGCTCTTTGCAGACATGAAGAATTTATTCCCTTTATATTTGCTGAAATAGATTTACATGCATTCCCTGTTTCTCAGCTGTACAGACACTGCTCATTTATCTTTCCCTGTGGCTTCTGAGTCTGCAGTTCATCATAACTCAGAGATCACCTCCATCAAGTCTTTTCCCAGAGCCTCCTGCTTCCTACATCTGTGTTTGGTTGGTTTGGGGGGTTTTTTGTTTGTTTCTTTTTTTCACCTGCAAGCAGAAGTGAAGTGATATGAACCTTGGAAGTGCAGTTCCAGAAGAGAAAATCCAAAATCTTTGCTACCTAAAAAAGTAAATCTTTACTCACAAGACTGTTGAGTGTCAGGACAAGAGGGATCTGAACAAACAATAAACTTCAGAAACTACAAGTTCTCTGTGCTGCATATACAGAGATGGCTACACAGTTAGTCAGTTCTGAAGTTTTCCAGAATCCCATGCAAAAAAAGGCCTAAACCCCTGCTGTTTAATGGTCAGTTGTTGACCTAATGTATCTGTAGACTGCCAGGAAAGCAGACGGGTTTTTGGTAAAGAAGGAAATTTTGGAATAAGGTACAAAATCACAGAAACACCTTCCCCCCCCCCCCCCCCCCCCCCCCCCCGTTCCTTTGAAAGGAGAGTTTTCTAAGAATCCTGCCACATCTGAAATCACAAATTTCTTCATAAAGCAGCCTGTAGCTCATGCCTTCTTTTTCAACTCTATAACCAAATGCAGTGGCAAGTTCAGTGTCATTTTTTAACTTAAGCATTAAAATAAGTGGATTCATAGATCTGTCTTGTTCTGTTCCATGGAGTTTATAAAATATCAAGCATAAACTAATCTCAATTAATCCAGCAATGCCTTAATATTCTGCCCATCCTACTTCAATACTGTCTTATACTTAATTTATTTCAGCATCTTGCCTTATTATAAAAATTCTTCATTACCTTTTCTTTGTGTTCCACTTTATTGACAGAGATGTTATCTGGGGTAAGTTTTATTTGAGATATCAACCTCCACTACATACAATTTTGTGGAATTATGGCACTAAGTTTGGTCGATGGTGTCTACCTCTGTATATCCACAACTCCTGAGACAGTAATTTATTGCACCCTAACTTTAGGAATCCAAAGATGGATTTTCTATGTATTTTGGTCAACTTCATCTCAGAGCTTCTGTGTCCAGTAAAGTTGTAAATCTGAAAAGAAAAGCAAATTTGGGTGACAAGACTCAATGCTATCAGAGTGGATGGTAAAAAATGAATTTCAAAGCAAATTGAAGAAATCTGTGTTTGGAATAGGAAGAAGCATGATTCTATCTCATGGCTAACAAAGTAACAGCAACCATGCATGGAGCAAAAAAAAAGCATTATAAGCTTTACCAGCTATCGATGAATGGTTCAAGAGTGTTTTGTAGCATTCATTTGCAAACATGCAGGCGTTTGCAAATGAAGTGCAGTTGAAGAAAGAGATCAAGTGACAACTGAAACATGGGAGGGAAATGATCAAAACAAATAAGCTCTGCTTTGCAGTTTACCTCGTTGCAAATCGAAAGAGTGCTAGAAACAGACAAAGCCTGTTGAGCCCAGTAGGCTAGTCTTTGCCTTTTTGTAGACAGGGTAGCAAGCTTTGTAGTGTTATGCAAAATCTCTTGATCAATTTTTATTACTAATCAGACTTTAAAAAGTAGAGCAGTTCCACCCAAGAAAAAAACAAGAATAACAAGACTGTCCTGTTCTTTGGGGTCAAGCAGCAGTGTTCTTCTGCCACATTTGGAAGAGAAGTCTTTTCCTGTGAAACGAAAGGCTACATAAAGGGAAGTTTGCATGTTCTTTTCAATTACATCAGCCGGCCTGCTGGAAGATCCTGCCAGCTCCTCCTACTAATCTTTCTCTTAAAAGGCACTTCTTACTAGTATCACAGTACTATACCTTCATGGAAAATCAAAGATGTGTCCTATTAAGGTAAAAGCTTTTTCTTTTAAATCTTGTTTCTCACTATATAATTTCTGCTCAGACTATTCCTGTGTGATGAAATCTAATCAAACCGCACTTTAAAAACGCATGCTTGCGGGAATCTGTGCAAATACTGCCTCCTGGCGACTGCTTGTACGGCTACAGGACAGGGAAAGGTGTAACCTCAAATGGCTTCTCAAGTTTGTATTCACAGACAAAAATCAGAAGAGAAATAAATTTCTATTTAATTTCAGAACAGACGTAATTAATCTGTATTTGTTATTTAACAAGGAAGCGTTTTCTTTGCAAGAACTGTCAGAGCTAATTAAGTCTCAAATTCTGCAACATCTCAGTCTGTCTTTACCGTGAGAATAAAATGGCTGAAGTTTTTCTGTTAATATAGCCAGGTCAGCTCATATATTAAAAAAATCATATGGCATACAGTGTAGACAAACTTTTTAAATTATAAGGAACAGGACAGTAAAGATTTAGGGGGCAGGTAATGAAGGTAAAACTTAAAACGTCTCTAAACACTTACCTTTTTCTTGCCTATCCCTATAACACTACTCTGAAGTCCCAACATTTTAGAATGCAGAATTTCCTAAGTTTAATTCTTATCAGTTTAGAAATTTAACCAGACCTCGTTAAATCTGCCTACTGGTGTGTTTATCCTACACAGTGAGCGATACAGAGGCAAAGAGACACTGTGTTCAATACTAAATGCCACGCAATACTAAATGCTATGCAACACTGCATCTACCTCATAGCAGGAAAGAATTTTGCTGATCTCACAGGCATGCAGCACTGCATCCACTGTAGCCACTGCTTTCTGCAAGGCTAGACCTTGCCAGGTTTCTGTCTGCCATCCTGGCAAGAGTGCCCCATAACTAAACAGCAAATCAAGGCTATGCTCTTTAAACCTTCTACTGCCTTTCCTGGTGCTTTTATTCATATGAGAATGCTTGTCTCAGACAAATAATTGTTATTCCACACTACTTTCATACTACTACACCTATGTTTAATGTGACTGGTTCTGCTAGTTCTGCTAGGCATACAGGATTCTGAAAGATAATTTGCACCACTGACCTGAAAGACAATTTGCTTTCTATTTTGGACCCAAAGTTGTATTCATACTGATACAGCAGCACAAAGGGATAGAAACTGGATTAGCTGTGTTTGCCTGGAAATGAAGCAATCCTTGAGTGGCATAAAGATGGTAGGCCTGACTCTTGCCCACCAGCTTTTTCTCAGATGTGAGAATATGGAACATTGCAAAGCTGTGAAAGCATAAGCAGGACAGCTCACACTCCAGTTGCCTTTGGCTGGAGAATTAAAATAATTCATCGACTTTGTCATGTAAACTTGTGCATAGGAGTATGAAAGTAAAGAATTATGGTTTGTTCATGCTTTACATTTATGCTGGACAGAATTGTTATGAACTGCCCAAGTAACAGTGTAGCAACTCAACTTTTTGATTTTTACTTTCAATTTTTACCAGAATATTTAGTTTAGAGTACCCTGAGGTGTTACTGAAAAGCTGTGTCAGGAAGTTGTCCTCAGCTAAGAATACAAAGGAGATAGGAGTATGCCCAAATGGTAACTGTCAGCATTTCTCAAACTGTATGCAGAAAACTGTTTGGCTGTACAAGGATTTGGCCCTTGGTTCAAAGTTTCATGCAGAAGCCATGCGGAAATCCTATGCAAACCTGATTAGCTATTTTGGTCTCAGTAATATACATAGAAAATCACGGGTCTAAATCAGTATTCCCTTGATTCATTCACTTGGCATATCAGACAGCTGAGTACTCAAGGCTGGCACACCAAGGGACTTCACTCCAAACCTCTGAGGTGGTGAACTTCCCTGCAGCACAGCTGAGTAGCCAGGATCAAGGTAAACAGACTTGGCAGATAACTACAGCAGCAGCTCTAGAAGTAAGGATGAACTGCATTCACTATTGGATTTGAATAATATC